TTGAGAGAGGGCGAGGGAAAAAGAGGTTTTCTCCAAGATCGCGGTAATAAACTACTAATCACAGCTCCTGGAATAAATATGATAAAAATCAAGTGCTTAGGCTAAAGTTGATCAAAATTGTTCAAGCGTGACAAATGAGCTAAAATCCCAGATGATGACTGAGCACCCTGACAACCCCTTTCTGCCCCTCGCCCACTCAGGCTCGCAGCTTTGCACAGCTCCCGTGCTCCCGTCTCCCATGTAACCCCTTGCTCAAAACTTTCTTGCAGATGATCCAAGCAATACAAGTACTAAGGTTTCACCTTTTGGAATTAGAAAAGGTAAGAGGCACGGAGATGGGCGGGGGGCAAACCATTCCCTCCCTGTGTCATCCCTGTCCTGTCGTCATGTCGTGTCGTGTCGTGTAGTGTCGTGTTGTGTCGTGTCCCGCCGAAAAACGCGCCTTGGCTGTTTGGGATGGGTTGTAAACATGGCCAGAGGAGACAGGGGAAAGGCGGTGTGATACAGTAACCTGGGCCATCAGAGCATGTGACACCCGACAGCCATGCCCAGCCCAGCCTGGATTTATTTGTTTTGTTTTGTGTTGGTGAGGTTTTTTTTTCCCCCCAGCGGAATTTCAACCGAGTCATTAAATGTATATATTATTAAACCCCTTTCACCCTTCTTACCCCTTCCCTTAGTAGAAGCTCTGTTCCTCACTCGGAAAAAGAGAAATGGAAGCGCTCCTGCCTTTCTCCAGCTCTGGCCGGCATGTTAACCCCAAGCAAGCACTAAATGTTTGGAAGAGGCAGGGGGCCCTGCCCGGCGTGGGGAAGGGGCCGCGCCCTGGGACGAGAATGGCTTTTCCCACAGCCTCAGCGAGTAGCTGCACTTTCCTGCTCCTGGCCGCTTAGACCTTTTTTTAGCTCCGGTTTAATCCCATCCCGTCCCGAGTGACTAGTTGTACCTGTCTGGGCTGTGTATGCTCCAGAGATACCGCCTGGGTCCAGCTCCCAATGTTCTGATGTTATCATCAAATCGGATTTTCCTCTGCACACCAGACTGAGCCCACTATCTCTCTCTCTCTCTCTAACTTGTTGCTGTGGCAAGTCTCTAGAGAATAATATGTGCTGCAACAATTTCTCTATTGTTTCCTTGCCTTCAACTATTGTGCCCCTTAATTAGAGTTACTTGTGCAGTAGATCAGAGGGTTGTTCTTGCCACCAAAAAGAAAAAAAAAAGTTGCAATCTGATATTTTGCCATTATTGATACTATTATTCTTGTTACTATTTTCAGGTTCATGAATTGTGTGATAACTTCTGCCATCGGTACATTAGTTGTTTGAAAGGAAAAATGCCAATAGACCTCGTTATTGATGAAAGGGATGGCAGCTCCAAATCAGACCACGAAGAACTCTCAGGATCTTCCACAAATTTAGCCGATCATGTAAGTCCTTCTGATTTCTTTATGTCACTTTTTAAGACTTTAACCTTAGAGGACCTCTCCCCGATTTTGTTGTTTTGCTGCTGTTGTATATTAGCAGTAGTATTATTACTATTTAACCTCTCACAAGCTCGGATCCCATCTTTACACTTTCTCCCCTCTCACTTCCTAAAGTTGGAGAAATGCAGAAGGTTCCTTCTGTTTCCCTCTGTAAAGCAGAGAGTCTGCAATGGAGTGTAAAGTTTCCTGGTCTGGGCGGCTTGGAGAGCTGGCAAAGTGTCGGTTTGATGTGGGGATCGGTGCTTTCTCTTCTTCTTTGCCAGCTCTGCAATCAATGCAGCAGTGTAAGGAAACAGAGACAAGAAAGTTAGGGAGAAAGTTTGCTGATTTGCTCCCCCCCTCCCCTCTCGTGGGGATGACAAGTGATGAGAATTACTGGCAATACTACACTGCATTAAAAAAAAAAAAAGGGAGGGGGGTTAGCACTTTAGATTTTCCAATGCTTGTGCTTTATAGCAACTTATTGTCAGAATATGGACTTATTGCCAAACGCCTGAAGCATCTTCATAATAAAAGACAGTAACCTTGATGAAGCAATTATTAACAATGTATTACAGAAAGCTGGAGAGAATGATGATTGAGGAACTGTAGGTTAGCGGTTGATTTTAACACTTTAGGAGTTGGTGAATTAGTGTTACGTGTGTAGGACTGAACGTTGGTGTGCGTGGTAAGGAGAGTGCCTTTGCTTTTCCGGGTTTTGGAGCAGCTCTTGTGATCCTTCAAAAGATGTAGACACGGAGAGACTCCGGGATGTGAAGGGAAAGATTGCAGCTGGTACCGCAGAAAGGGGAAGGAATAGCTCTGGTTAAAAAAGAGTGGGTGTGAACTCTAGTTTATTTATAGGAACGCATCCCTGGGGGAAAAAGGGGTTTACACAGTTTTAGATTCAATTGAACTCATAATCTAAATGATACAGTCTAATATTTTAGCGGTTGAAATATTAATTTAACACCCGGTGTGAAGTTAACCATGCTTTCTGCACAGGCGCCTGCCTTTATTTCCCAGTGTGTTAAGAAGAGTAGCTGGAAGCCCAGAGAGAATGAGCTTTCTAGGAGCTTTTGTTTCCTTTGAAAACATGTTGTTTGTGTGTGTATTTGATAATTGCATTAGACCTGGACTGAAGCTGAACTGGGAGATAAAATAATAATAAATTCTTCTAAATGCTTACCCCCCACCCCTTTCTGGCACGGCTTAGTTGCAGTGCCCGGGAAATATTTTTGGACCCAAGCCTTAGCTTTCATTTTCTCATTTGTATTCCATAAACACTGCAGGACAAGTTTTTTGTGAAGTTTTACATTTAAAACCTATTATTTTGAGAGAAAAAAAATGTATGCAGAGGTTCCTGAAAGTTTCTCTGCATATCAGCTATCTCTCACGCAGATGATAAACTCCATGAGGCATGACACTATTTCAAAAATATTTGTTTTATGGCATTTTACAACCCTAAACTCGTGTGCATAAGTATTCTGGGATAATACTAGAAAAGAAATTGAAATGAGTGGCAACCTGAAAGATAGGGGGTCATTGTGTATAATTCAGAGCAACAGAAAAAAAAAGTACATGTTTCTCTGGTACAATTTCTCTACAAGAGTGTGTTTCAAGTGGAAGTGTAGAAATGGAGCATGCTTATGTTTATATTGAAGAGATTAGATAAACTAGCCTGTTTAGGGTTCTGGCAGATGGCGAATGCTCAAGCCAATTTGCAGTGCTCCATTATAATATTTAAATTCGCACACAATGATAGGACAGGGGTGGAGGGGGTTAGCATTTTGATAATTTGATAACTATTATCTTCCCTAAGAAGAATCTCCCCTTGCTTTTGTAGCCCAAAACCCAAACTAAAATAAATATGACAATCCATTTATCTTGCACCCGTTAGGGTCTACCACTTCATTGGGTATTATAATTTAAAGCCTTTTATTTCCTGGAGATTTGAGCTATAACATTTTTGCTTTAACCCCCTGCTATTTGTTTTGAAAGGAAGCAATAATTTGTGCAACCAGAACACCAACTGGGAAATGAAGAGTTGTATCACATAGTTACATTTTATTCATGCGTTTTGGGAAATGTGTCTCCTTATTGGATTTTTTTTTTTAATATTCGCTTGTTTTCCCGTCAAAACTTTAACACTTTTTTATAGCTTAGTCGAACTACCGTGCGTGTACACATTTATGTTTGCACTGTGCAAGGTTCCAGCAGGAAGAAATCCACTTTTATTCATAAAGAAGGAAAAGCTTTAAAAAATGGCTAATATAAACATGCAAGACTATCAAAAAATGAGCTATCATTTCTGAGCATCTACCTGAAAATGTAGCAGTTCAAGCATGCAAATTTGTCCAATTTGACTCTCCAGGTTTATTTTTTCATTTGCTTTGATATGCATATTTAATATATAGCCTCAGGCTAGATCTCATTTGGTGAAAGTTGGTGCAGGGGTGATGATGAGCCACTTCAGAAGGACAGAGACAGCATGTTGTTTCCTCTGTTTTATGTATTGGCCCACTATTCTGATCCATGGGTCTTCCCCTCATGGTTTTATTTGCACATGAAATACTAGGAGCATTTCAACTGATTGGCTATGAATAATGATAGCCAAAAAGAAGTGTAGGTTAATTTGTTGCGTGCCAAGGTTTCCCTTATGGAGGTGACAGTTTGTGACAGCTCTTTGACACCCCAAAAATCCATACACCTCTGTTCTTACTAAGCAGTATAAAGCTCCACTGTTTATGTTTAATGTGGTAGCGGTGACAGTGGCAGTGCTGAACTAGGAACTAAGGCAGCTCTCAGTTTTATTCCTTTGCTAGACCTGAAAACAGTCATAAGGGAAAGTAACAGAAAGAATTGTAAGATTAGACGATATTTACCATAAGACTTGAAATGGGGTACTCAAACAGTGCATGCTTCCCTTTTCAAAATCTACTGCTCTGCTATTTATATAATGTAATTGGAAACCAAAACCAAAATCAACAAAGGAATGAACTCTTCAGAGGGATACCTGTGCTGGAAGAAGGAGACAGCTGTAAGCGGTTGTGCTATACGTGTTTGGTAATAAGTGTGTTTATCAAATTTTATTTTAGTGCGCTATTAACTGTTATGTAATACAGTAAGTGTAAAGGGTCCAGGGACTTGGTAGATCAAATAGTGCAGTGCTGGCCACAAGAAGTTGAAACTTTTGTTATTACTCTGCTGTGTTTAGTAAATATAACAGCCCATATTTAGTGTTTGAATTTTTAACACCCTCATATTTTTTTATTGCTCTGAGGTATTAGCTATAGATGGGAAGAAGGTAATTACAGCTATGCCCTGGCTGAACCAGATCAGTTAGGGGAAAAAAAAAAAAAGAAAAGAAAAGAAAAGAGGAAAGAAACCTTTCCAGCTGCAGTTCAAGTTGAGTTTTCCAGCACAGACAATTTACTATTGTTCAATATAAACATTCTGGGTCCTATCCTGCATTCTGTGTTCAGCCTCAAATATCCGTTTGATATTGCCAACAAACCTTTTTGGTTTTTTCCTTTTGAACTATGCAAATCTGTAAAACATAATGCTTGCAAAATCTGGAGATTTTAAAACTTTTTCAAGCATATGATAACATTTTGTACTTTAATTACATTTCTTTTGTACCTGGCTTCACCTGGTGCCACACATTTCTTCCTTCAGCACAAACCTACTTTGAAGCCTAGTAATACTCCCACAGAAATTTATGGCTGTCCTTCCACTGGCTTTCGTGGGAGCAGGATCTGGGCCTCAGTCTTTTTGATATTTGTTTATATGTTCTAGTCAATTTGCAGCTGAGAAGTAATAATATACAGATCATCATTTATAAAATATAATTAAAAATGGATAGAAATATACATACTTCTCTTCGTTATAAAAAGGCTGTTGACAGATTAGAAATCTGATGCCTTAGCTGTAGAAGAGAAATATTAGTTTGAATATTAAACCTTTCAGCTCTCAAATGAGGAGATACCTTTATTTTGTACTTTTGGACATTCAGATATTTTGCATTTTTTTAATATTTCTTCTCAAATAATGGTCTGTGCAAATCCCTGACATCTTGCAGATGAGAAAAAAAATAAAAATACAGTAATACATATCTGTTCTAGTTATATAATTAAACTTTTAGGTAACATTTCACTGAGTAATGAGGAAGTAATTGGGGGCCTGATGCTGTAGTCTCTAGGTACACCACACTTTGATGGACTTCAGTGGGAGTTTTGAATATGCCAGAAATGCAGGATCAGACCCCAAAGGTGCCCTTTCTGTTTGTAGTGTGTCAGAAAGGAAACAAATCATCTAACTACAACAATAATAAAGGGAACTTTTTTCTTTTGTAACCAAATTTCTTAATATGGATCTTAAGACTTTGGACATTACGATATGCCCTGGGCTTTCTGAAGGGGCAAGGAGCATTCTGAGACTGCAGCGACTGTTGTGTATTTCCTCTTTTTGATGGGCCAGGGTTCTCTACAGTCAAAGGTAATATACAGCTCAAATTTGAGTGTTTTAATTTTAAACTGCATTCTCTCAAACTGAACCGATAGTGTATTTCACTGTCTATTTGATGCCGGTGTTCCCTCTTTGGTTTGAGTTGTCTATCAGTCTAGATGAAGTGTAGCCACACAGAATGACGTAGAAGGACAATTAAAAAACCAACAAAACCCTGATTTTTCAAGTCTCAGTTCCTTGCTGACAGGTGGATTACATGTCTGATTTCAATCTTAATTGGAAAATACAAAGCATGCAGCTTTCAAGAATGTTGCTACATTCTAGGAGTGTCAAAAATTCCTCCTAATAATTTCCTCAAATGCATAATCAAGGGACAAGAATTAAAACTTGTATATACATACACATACAAATATCTCATCGATCACAATGCCTTGTGTGTCATTTGAATTGCGTGATTCTGACACAAAAAAGTTGTTGATATTAAATATGCATCTGTA